GCAGGACTAGAGGGTCACTTGCACAGACCAGAGCAAAAGAATAGAGGAGTGAGGGAGGGAAAATCTGAACTGATAGGGGATTTAAGCTTCAGTGTTTCATTTGATGTGATACATGTTTAAGGTATAGGATCCCTGGAACATCTGGAGAAAACAAGCAATGGGTGAATGAAAAACACCATCACCAATAAAAATAGGAAAATAAGGCAGTTATAAACTTGAGGGGAACAGGTGTAAAAAAACGAAATACTCCTATCATATTACTCGTCTCTGAAGTCGATATTTAACAGTCATGATAAAGTAAATACTAACTGCTGACTTACACAAAAAATTGTTACAAAACTATTGGCAGAATGGGGTGGAGAGGGGGTTGAGACTTAATCCTCAACTACTCTAATTCAGAAGGTCATTTCTATGCCATTAAAAAAATAAATAGCAACATATAATTTAGAAACAGGGAGGTAGACTCCAATAGAAGGAGCCAAAAAAAGTTGGAAGTATTGCCCCTGAGGAGTGAGGGTTGAGGGAGGGTGTTTGTGGAGGGGTTAGGAAGGGATTGATGTTTTTCAGTGTAGACCTTGAAAAAGCATTATATGGAACAAACTTTTGATTAAAAATTAAAGGAATTGACGGAAAAATCAGAAGACTCTGAGATCATATGCAGGGTCCTGATGGAATAGCAATGAGATCTCTTATTATTCATTCATTCATACAACAAATAGTTATCAAGCACATTCTGAGCCAGGCACTAAGCTAGGCCCCAGGAGTACAATGGTGAACGAAGACACATTTGGTCCCTGCCCTCATGGAGCTTCTGTCTACTAGAGCAAATAGACAATAAACAAGAAAATAAATACATAGAAGAGATACAGATTGTAGTAACAAGGTGTGAATAGAAAAAAACTGACTGTGTGCTAGAAAATGGTGGTGAGGGAAACAAAGGGCAGCTACTTTAGGTGTTTGTCAGGGAAGTTCTTTCAGATGAGCGAGACTTGAAACACATGGAGCATAAATCAAGGAAGGATGTGTATAGACTCCCAGGCAGGAAAGGCTGGTGGGTCTAGAAACTGTTAGAATGCCATTGTGGCCAGGAGCAACAGGGGTGAGCCAGAAGGCTCTAGAGAAGGTTGAAGAGGAGGGCCCAGATCACCTTGCTATAGGTATAAATTTGGGGAGTCCTCAGAGTACAGATATTTAAAGCCATGGGTGAAGAGTGTAAATAGAGCATTCCTCGCTCAGAGGAATTCCAGCATTTAAGAGCAAGAGCCAGTAAAGGAGACCGAAAAGGTGGGGCCTGTAAGGAAAGGCACAGCCAGGAAGTCTGAAAATTCCCCAACAATTCCCTAACATTTTCATTTGTCATTTTCCTAAAACTGCCCTATAGTTTGTATTTCTGTTGACAAAATGCATTACAATTTAGTTTTGAGATTTTAGCGTCAGTTCCAGAGGTAAGTGGAGATACTTGTATCCTAGAAAAATCAATTTACAATTACCTGAAAAGTTATTTACTCATCCCCACTGTAAATTATACCAGTGTGGCCCGGAACCTTTGTTCGAATCACAGCTACAGGGGTCCTCCTCTGTGCTCTTGTGGGGTCATCCGAAAGAGTGCTAGGATTTCAATCGAGATGTCCCTGTGGTTTATCCTCAAGACTGTGTCCCCCGCCCCCTTTGAGAATAAACAAGACTCCACAACACTCCAGCTTGCACTCTTCAGTGTTGGAAGGAAATCGAACTCGCTGCCTTGCCCACCGCCTAGGGCGCAGCACTGAGCGGTGACCGTCACGGGAATCGTGATGCGGTTCCGTCGCTTTTTGGGCCCCTGAGATTAGAAGCCGGCGAGTCATGGCCGCGGGCTGCACCGCCCCTGGTAAATCGACAGAGCGCTGGGCCCGGCCCTCGGAAAACCAGCGCCAGATGAAAGGTGAGAGTCGACAGAGGGAGGCAGAGGCAGCCGGAGGCAGCAGCGAGATTCAGGACGCCGAGTGCACAGCTTCCCGGGAGGACCGGGGCCTACGCCCGCCCGAGGGCTGTTGATGCGCCGCCTCCGTGAGCCACTCGTCAAACAGCGGCGGTTACTGCTTCCGAGGTCATTTGACTGGGACGCGTCTTTCGGTGCAGACTTGGCGCGCGCCTGCAGTAGCGGCGTCAACCTGCGCCCAAACCCGGGCAGATGACTTACCTCTGCCTTCGCCCAGTGCTCGGCTACCATTTCCTTCCGTCTTTGCTCCGCTCTCTGTTTAACGGCGCGCGCCAGGCAAGACCGGGAACGGAGGCCGCAGGGCTCTCCAGGCCAGGTTCGTCCCTGGATCCCACCCCGCAGGGGGCCGTGCAGCTCCCGGCGCTCTGGCCGCTGACCAGCGCCCGCAGTCTGAGCCGAGGTTGCCGCAGCGCCAGTAATGTCGGGGCCCAGGCTGGAAGGACACGGCGTAGGGACGCTGGAGCCAGCCGGCTGCCCCCGCGCCCGCCCCCTGGCCGCAAATGGGGCAGGCCAACAGGCAGGGCCCGAGGAAGCCCTTGGGCTTTGGGCGTTGGGGGGAGTGGGAGGGACCGCAGCCCCAGCGGCGCGGGAGCGAGTTCATTCGCGTCCCCTCATGGGGAAGGGAAGTGGTTTTCTATTTTGGGGTGAGGGCAAGGCCAGAGAAGCTACCACTAACTTTGGATCCATGCATTGAGTTTGGAAAGCTTTAAAAGTCTCAGTACTTTTTGTTCCCATTTCTTTTCCGAGGACGATTTCCAGCCCCAAATTCGACACGCATCTCCCCTCTCAGCGAGAACCGTGGGCTCGTCCGGGAGGGTAGGGGGGGCGGGGCGGGGAGTTGTTGGCGGGAAGTTTAGAACTGGCGCGCTGTGTTCATCCTGCTGTCTCTTGTTCCGCCTGCTCTCTTTGTGCTCACATTCTGCCCTGCCATGCCCTGCTCTCAAGAGGCACAGGTCATCTCCCCCAGCAAACGGACCCGGCCTGCGGAGGAGGGCGGCATGCGGCTCCGCTTTGTCCGGCTTTCGGAGCACGCCACCGCTCCGACCAAGGGGTCCGAGCGCGCCGCGGGATATGACCTATACAGGTGAGTGGGCACCCTGTCCGCCCGCGTCCCCGAGGAAGGCCGGCCCGGGCGAAGAGGCTGAGAGGGCCGCCTTCTGTCCCGTCATCCTTACCTCTCGCGGAGAAGTCCCAGTTCCCGAGGTATAGCGCTCTCAGCTTAGCTTACATTTCAGCCCGCTGCTGCCAAAGCTTGAAACAGCCGCTAAAAGTACAGAAACAAACGCTTTTTGCATTATATAGAGTTTCTGCCTTTTTTTAATGCTGAAAATTTTAGCTTTCCTCTTTAGCATAAATTAAATACGGATTTGGGCAGAGTGTGGAGTGGTAAATACCAGTGAATGTCCTCCCAGGTGTTATTTATTTTGCAACATTTATTGCGCCCTTTCTAAGTGGAAAGTAGAGATGAAGAAGGCCCACTTTGGCCTTCAAGGAGTGGCCTGAGAGTGATGCTGTGCTCAGTAGAAAGAAGAGCCACGGTAGGAGCCTAGGTTCTTAGGTAATGTAGCTAAGAAAGATTAATGAAAGTTGCTTCTACCTTTAAGGGTTAGTAACATTTCTCTATATGTCCATATTTAGTTTCACTCCAAGGACTGGAAATTTCCAAAAGGGTCCAAATATGAAAAGCAGGGATGTTGGTAATACTACCATCTTCTCTCTTGTACAGCACTTTTTACCTGTACTAAAAACTGGCACATGTGCTATTGTATTTAATACTCAACAACAATCCTGAAGTAGATGAGTGGTGCTTTTTACAGATGTGGGAGTTTGTGAAGAGATGAATTGATTGCCCAAGGGCTTGAATATAATAGAATTTTTGACCCTAAATTCAGTGGGGTTTTTTCCACTTGACTACTGTCCCCAGTTCTTAGAACCATTAAGGTAGGTCAAAAGTGATATTGGGGAGGAGGGGGTGTTGATTACATGACTAAATCCCAAGCCTTAGGATTTATTTTAAAGCATCCCAGATAATTCTAATGTGAGAACCACTGGTCTAAGTCATAAGTACCACAGAAGGGAAGAAAGGAGTATGTGATGATAGTGGGAGAAAAGTAGGAAAAAGAAAAGTGAGGTATAGACTGTTGTAGCTGAAAGCTGTAGTCCTTTATTTTCATGAATAAAAGTAGAGTGATCTACATTGACTACACCATATCTGGGTGCTGTTGTGAGTCTTAGGAGAGACTTCGATTTAAGATACTTTGTAAGCATCCTCCTAACACAGGTGACTTTCTGTATACTGAAATAGACATGGAAATATCTCTTCGATAAATTAGAGTTTTAACTATTTCAAGAGAGGAAATTCCAATGAAAGAAGTAAAAATATAGCACTACTTTACCAGTCTTAATTAAGGGCTCAAAAGTAACTTCCAGTTGTGCTTATTGTAAAATCTCTTAAATTTCTTTCAAGGAGAGGGCTACAGTAATAACAAAGTAGCAGCATTTGGTGGGTGGACCTTAGAGAATCAGTTACTCAGTAGTGTCCATCTCCAGGGCCTGTTCACAGTGGTCAGCTCTCTCCCTCAGCCAGTGAAGTTCATGGCCACCGCTTGGTAAGCTTGGTTAACTACCAAGACCAGAACAGATGCAACACAGCTGAACCAACGCCCCCCCACCACCACCATTTATGTTGGCCATCTATTTTCTCCTTCCCTTCTACATGTTTTCCCTAACGATTAGAGGATTGTTGTAAGAATAAAATGAGTTACACAAAGCAATTAGAACTGTGCCTGGCACACAGTAAGGGCTTAATAAATGTTAGCTATTATTTGCTATTATCTACCCTTCTTTCTTGGTTCTTTATTTTCCTCTTTTCATACCATGTTAGTGAAGCATATACCTTTTAAAGTCTGCCTTTCAGCCCCCTCCTGCTAAGTAATTACCTCAATTTGCCAACAAAATTTTGTTCAGGGGAGAATACATTTACATGTCACCTCTTTCACCAAAAAATGCACAGAGAATTACTATGTCTAAATACCAGTTATCTTTCATTATTTTACTAGTGCCTATGATTACACAGTTCCACCTATGGAGAAAGCCCTTGTGAAAACAGACATTCAGATAGCTCTTCCTCCTGGGAGCTATGGGAGAGTAGGTAAGTGATTTGAGACACAGGTAACTCTTTGTCAGGCTCTTCCTTTGTGATATGTTCTTTCATCTTAGTTTCATTTGGGGTATAAATGAGGGAAGGGATATTGCTCGGCCTGTGTCCTAAAATAAAGACGTGCCACCTGTGATGGCAATTGCAGTCATTTGAAAACTTTCCTTTACATATCTACTTTTGCCTCTATCGTTTTGCTTTTTTTTTTTTTCTTTCAATTCCTTACTTAAGCTTTTAGGACACTCACATTGGCCCAGGAGGTTGTTTTCACAACTACTCACTGCGAGAAACACTGAAAGTATAGGTGATTTTTTTTTTTTTTTTTTTT